CTGTACCACTGAAAAAATGAATGGAAAATTTTTAATGCAACTGTAAGTTGGAAAATGCAGTTGTTGCTAAATTATGACATCAAAACAGTAAAGAAGATAAAGGAAGGTGCCTACTACAATAGTCCATTAGAGGGTAGCAGACTTGCACTAATACTGAAGTTTAACTCATTTTAAATGGCTCTAATAACAGGGAATGTTTTTCCTTTAAAATTACTTCACTAACTGTTAAATTATTAGTTTTTAATTAGACTTAGACAGATTTATAGTGTATATGAAATGAAATTTCGTTTAAAACCGCTCTAAGCAATTTCATTTTTTAAAGTGCAGCCTTGAAAAACAACAATAAAAACATTAAAAAAAGAAAAAGAAAAAAATAGTAATATAAACAAAAGACTATATTTACAGTTCCAAACTTTAAAAAAAAAAATTAGATAATTCTTTTATTTTGAAAAGTTTTTGTGGGAACAGTTGCCATGTTATAACCTGTAAACATGACTTACTGATGGCTCAACAAATGGGTTAGATAATTTTTCACATATGACATTATGGGAATATATTGAGTATTTAAAGTATTGTACTGTATTTAGATAAGGTTATATCTTAATTAATTCATTAAGCTTTTAATTTAAATTTGACTTCACCTCTTCAGTACATTTGATGCTGCAACAGAAATTTTTTTCTATTCAAATGTAACTTGATACAGGAGAGCCTGCAGCCTAAAAACATGGTTATGAAATGATCCCAGAAGATTTTTACAATCTTGAGTCTCACCTGAGGTTTCTTTTTTAAAGGAAAGTGAACATCTTGTATTTAATTAATAATGGTGCAGGTTTAGAGCTTGCATGTATTATGGCAACAAAGACGTCAGGGATCATTCCCGGTGACATTTCAAAGTCCAAGCTTGCCTCAAACTCTATAGAAACGCTCCCAATAAAATAAACAGTGTCAGTGTGTTAAACACCTTTGACCTTTATCATGTTACACAATACTAGATAGGCTTCCCTCTGCCTGTCTATCAGTTAGTCTGGCCTTTTAACACAAACAGTTTCCTTATTGTGTTGGAAGAAGCTTCAGGAGGGGGATAATGGCCGGAGATGCCCTGTGTATAACCAGTTTTTCATGCTTTTTTTCTTTTTAGTAGAATAAGCTGTGCAATAGTCACATATCACTTCATTTTAAGCCTTTTATTATTTTAATTTTGCATGAAAAAAATTGGCTAAGAATATGCAACCATAAGGAGAATCGAAACATAAAAAAGCATTATAAATCTATCAATATGGAACTTGCAATGGATGGCGTGGATGCAATATTTGATAGACCCTCCTATTAAAATGACAATAAAGTCTGTCTAAGTCTCTTTAAGTCTAAGTCTATTCCAGGTGGAGTGCATGCTAATAACATGGTTGGTCATTTGGATAGAATTCTGCTTTATTTTATTCCCATAGTGGATCTAGATACTTGGTAGTGATCCTACTATTCAGGGAGCATCAGGCATGATGAGGGCAGAAAGGTCCATGCTTTAAAGACATCCTTAGATTGAATCAACTATGTCGTTTTGGCTCATTGTTTTAAACAGCACAACTTAAAATATAAAGGTCTACAATACCACAGATTATTTAGCACCATCAGAATTATTCCTAAAGAGGTGTTACATAAAAAACAAAGGATACTTGATGATTACCAAAATAATTGAGATAAAGGCTCACAGCATTTGTACAGTTCCATGTACAGTATACAGGTGCTGGTCATAAAATTAGAATATCATGAAAAAGTAGATTGATTTCAGTAATTCCATTTAAAAAGTGAAACTTGTATATTATATTCATACATTACATACAAACTCATATATTTCAGATGTTTATTTTGTTTAATTTTGATGATTACAAATGACAACAAATGAAAATCTCAAATTCATCATATCAGAAAATTAGAATATTACTGAAGACCAATAAAAACAAAGGATTTATAGAAATGTTGGCCAACTGAAAAGTATGAACATGAAAAGTATGAGCATGTACAGCACTCAGTATTTAGTTGGGCCTCCTTTGGCCTGTATTACTGCAGCAATGCGGCGTGGCATGGAGTCGATCAGTCTGTGGCACTGCTCAGGTGTTATGATAGCCCAAGTTGCTCTAATAGTGGCTTTTAGCTCTTCTGAATTGTTGGGTCTGGTGTATTGCATCTTCTTCTTCACAATACCCCATAGATTTTCTATGGGGTTAAGGTCAGGAGAGTTTGCTGGCCAATTAAGAACAGGGATACCATGGTCCTTCAACCAGGTACTGGTAGCTTTGGCACTGTGTGCAGGTGCCAAGTCCTGTTGGAAAATGAAATCTGCATCTCCAAAAAGTTGGTCAGCTGCAGGAAGCATGAAGTGCTCTAAAACTTCCTGGTATGTGGCTGCGTTGACCCTGGACCTCAGAAAACACAATGGACCAACACCAGCAGATGACATGGCACCCCAAACCATCACTGACTGTGGAAACTTTACACTGGACTTCAAGCAACGTGGATGAAGTGCCTCTCTTCTTTTCCTCCAGACTCTGGGACCTTGATTTCCAAAGGAAATGCAAAATTTACTTTCATCAGAGAACATGACTTTGGACCACTCACCAGCAGTCCAGTCCTGTTTCTCTTTAGCCCAGGCAAGACGCTTCTGACGCTGTCTGTGGTTCAAGAGTGGCTTGACACAAGGAATGCGACAGCAGAAACCCATGTCTTTCATACGTCTGTGTGTGGTGGTTCTTGAAGCACTCACTCCAGCTGCAGTCCACTCTTTGTGAATCTCCCCCACATTTTTGAAGGGGTTTTGTTTCACAATCCTCTCCAGGGTGCGGTTATCTCTCTTGCTTGTACACTTTTTTCGACCACATCTTTTCCTTCCCTTCGCCTCTCTATTAATGTGCTTGGACACTGAGCTCTGTGAACAGCCAGCCTCTTTAGCGATGACCTTTTGTGTCTTGCCCTCCTTGTGCAAGGTGTCGATGGTCGTCTTTTGGACAACTGTCAAGTCAGCAGTCTTCCCCATGATTGTGTAGCCTATAGAACTAGACTGAAAGACCATTTAAAGGCTTTTGCAGGTGGTTTGAGTTAATTAGCTGATTAGAGTGTGGCACCAGGGGCCATCAATTTTGAACCTTTTCACAATATTCTAATTTTCGTATATGATGAATTTGAGATTTTCATTTGTTGTCATTTGTAATCATCAAAATTAAACAAAATAAACATCTGAAATATATGAGTTTGTATGTAATGTATGAATATAATATACAAGTTTCACTTTTTAAATGGAATTACTGAAATCAATCTACTTTTTCATGATATTCTAATTTTATGACCAGCACCTGTAAACAGTTCAAAGCAGGTCATAGATATCTGACAAAGAACTTGAGAAATCCATGCTACTAATATCATGCATGTAAAAGAAAAGTACTGCTTTAAATCCCTTAAGCTTTGGGCATTTTTGAAAGTGACTAAACAAAACCAAAAACCTTCTTAAAGTTGATGCTTATAATGTGTTCTGATGCTTCTGAACAATCGATGTTTCTTAAAGAATTATGTTTAAAGGTTGATAAAACACTGGCTTATTTATTCCCTTATTTTCTTTATGTTTTTCAATGCTTAAATATTTGTTAAATGGATTCAAAAAGCTTTCAATGTCCAAAGAAAAAAATTCACAGGCTAATATAAAAAATAAAAAGCAAAAAACTACTGCTACGGGCAAGACATTGAAATTCTTCATCAGTATAAATATCCTGGGTCTATTATAGATGACAAATTAACTTTCAACAGCAACACAGACATGCTATGTAGGAAAGGGCAGCAGCGCTTATACTGCCTAAGAAAGTTGGCCAGATTTCAGGTTGACAAGACTCTATGACCATTTTCTATAGATCTTTTATAGAGTCCATACTTACCTTCTCTGCCATCTGCTCTTCTTGATGTAAAGAACAAAAATGCCATATCTAAGATTATTAAGGTGTGCAGTAAGATCATGGGTGTTCAGCAGAAAAACATAACTGAAATGTATGAAGTTCAGGTAATTAGGAAGGCTGAGTCCATCTTGGATAATTATACCCATCCCATACATAAGGAATTCCAGTCTCTACCCTCTGGTTCCCGTTTTAAATATCCACCAGCTCAGACCAATAGCTACAAACACTCCTTTATTCCCTCTGCTGTTCAGCTGGTAAACTCTACTAGGAAAAGCAGATAGCCATATGTTGGATGCATATAGGCTTATGCTCTCATTTATCCCCTGCACTGCACATATTCTTTTATCTCTTTTATCCACCTTACTTTTATATTTTTAAAATATTTTATGTTTCTTCTTTTATTTTTTTATTTGTGAAATGTGAACGTGTGTGAGAGAGAGGTGTAATACTACTGCACAAAAATTGCCCATACTGGGACAAATAAAAGCTATTGAACTGAACTGAAACTGGCTTAATAGGAACTAAATACACACACATATATATATATATATATATATAATTAAATCAGACTGCTTTGCACAATGGAAAAGCAGATGTGAAGGCAGTTCATTCAGGACTATGACATATGCTGTAAAGCAGCAATGCCCTTCCCAGATGATGTCATGACTTTATAATCTGAGCAAGAATGTGTTGCCTTGGTGTCAAAGCATCTTGGAAAGTTAAGGCACAAAGTACAGCACCACCAAAAGTGGATTTTTGATTAACCATGCAGGTCAAAGGATCATTTATCTAACCGTGACAACAGCAGTGTACTGGTTGCCACAACGAGCAATGACGGGAAGAAACCAGCTGTATGTTGGGAGGTTGTTTCATCGACAGTACAGTTTTAAAAGTAGGTGGCACCTAGAAACTCAATCATTCATCTGGTTAGGGGGAAATCCACAAACAGGAATCATGCCTTAGGCATTATTTTTCTTAATCTTTACAATCACCTAAATTTTATTGACTCTAAACTGAAGAAAATCATACACACCCAAACATAAATAATGCCGCAAGGCCAAAAAGCTTTGTTAGAAAAGTCTGATTTATTTATAAAACAGATATATTAAGATTTAGGATTGTCATTGTGCAAATAAAAGCAGAATGTTAGCCGGAAAATATTAATGAGTTCCATTCCAGTGTACAATTCTTATATTTACAAACATTTCAAATATTTAAGAAAATACAGTTCTCCCTTCTATTACAAAATAAAATCAAGATCATGAAACCTCACATAACAGCATCTAGTGCACTTAAACTTTACACTTACTGTCACCTTGCAGGATGAAATACAAAGCTGAAGACAGAGCTTGTGCTAAAACCTTAAATTTACTGAGTGCTTTGTTCTTTTGAAAACAACAACAACCACATATTTATATTTAGAAGTACTGGACACCTCAACCATGCCACAACACTTTAATGTTAAAATCAATCACCTTTTGGCATTTAGAGTTTACTGAGCTTTGATCAAATACAATATACTGTACATTGTACCTAAAACTATGCTGATCATATCTGCTTTGTAATGCAGTAATACCCCTTCCTGTCATGGCTACGCACACACACATTTTAAGACCATGCAGCTCTCCCAGCAGGAGAAAAACAAGTCAACTTAAAAAGAAGTAAATGAAAAAAATTGCCAGTCTTTTTCAATTAGTTTAATGTTTCTTTAAATCTTCCTTTCTAGGTTTTTCTTACAGTTCTGTCTCCTTTTCGTCATCCCCATCTGAGTCTATGTAATATTCATCATCTGTTGTTGTGTCAGAGCTGCTGTCTGAGGATTCATCGAAAGTGTCGAGGCTGGATACGTAGCCTATGGAGGGTCGAAGCGCTCTGGACGACTGGCTGTTTGCTTGGTGCACTGCGTCAGGTGAGCTGGTAAAGACGGGGGACGGAAGACTGGGAGCTTTGGACATGCGTCTGGTTACTGGTGAGAGGGGAGGGGTTGGAGGAGGGGTTGGTGGACCTTCTGTATCCCATGAAAAGTGACAGATGTTCATGCTGGGGCTGCGAGCAAGACCTGGCCTTGAGGGATTGCCCGTGCTAGACTGAGAAGGGGGAACTCCTGAGCTCCACTTTGCCAAGCACTGAGTCAAAGATCGAGGAAGGGATCTGGATCGCAACTTTCCAGCATCATAAGCGGAATATGACATGTGAGGTTCACAATTAGGCTGGGAATGAAATGGTCCCTCCTCATATGGAGTGGTGGTATCCTGACATAACTCCCTGCCATTACTGGCATAAGACAAAGCTCGCTGGGAAAGATCACCCACGCTCATGAACCTGGTTCCAGTAGAAATCCGTCCGGGCCGTGCAGGTCGACTGGACAGGACAGAGCTTACAGAAAAGGTTCTCCCTGGTTCAATGCCATACTTTAAATCTGCATAAGAAGATGGGACAGGTTCTTTATCCTTTCCTGGACTCGGAGTTGGTGGACCAGTAGATGCCCGGCTCCTTCTTGAACTTCCTAACCTGATTCCTTCTCCAGGCTGAAATGGAGATGAGGGTTCCCCGCGGCGAGGAGGCTTTGGGCTATAGAACACATTATCATCAAACACTTCTGCAGTGGATAATGGAGAAACAGGAGAGAGAGAAGAAAATGGAGAGAAGGGACTCCTAGGGCTGGGTGTAGACTTCTTGCACTGATTTGGATAAATAGTATTAGGACTGTGGCTCCCATCAATACTATCATTCGAGAAGGACAGCAACTGGCTTGTAGAAGTTTGCTGTGCCCTGTTGTCCAATGCTGCGTTCGACTGTTCATCTGGTCCATGGACTGTCAAATGCATTTTAGTTTGAGGTATAGCACAAGAACTTGGATCATCCCTTTTTTTTTCTTGAACAACACTTTCTGAACAAGTAGACAAATCTTTTCCTGCCTTTGTTTCTCCAACTGATGGTGCTTGCACAAGAGTGTATCTGTTGTCAGTCTTTCTTTTAGTATCCACCATTTTGACAGCTTTATGTTTTAGCAACGTCTCTTTCTCCTGTGTCTGGTCCTCCAGGGTTTTGGCACTGTCTGTGCTGACATCACTAATGTCGCTTGATCCACTGACAGAAGGTGTTAGGGAATTTCGCTTCCATTTCCATGGGAAGGGCAATTCATCCTCAGCCCGTCTCGGGTTGAATTTTTGTTTCAGTTTATTGATCATCTGGTCCACTTTGTTGTAATTTTTTACCCGCTCCGAGTCCGTCTTTGCTAAACTAGAGCTTGGTGAGCTGACACTTCTCTTTAAGCTAAATCGGCTTTTCATAGGAATCTGCTCATTATTAATCTCAACTGAATAAAACCTATTTTTAGCCTGCACACTCCCCTTTGTGGTTGTGTTATTGGTTTCATCAAGACTAGGTTCACTCTTTGTTGATCTACTTTCACTGCAGCTATTATTAGTGAGCATGCACGACTGTTCAACTCTTTCCGTACTCTGCACTGAGTGAGACTGTTGATCAAATTCTGTATTCACAGAAACCAAAGGGTTTGTGTTATGTTGAGAAGATGTAGGTGCGGTGTTCCTTGGTGTTTCTGTAGCTGTATCTGCTTTAGGTTTAATTCCATAAACTAGTGTTTCAGTTACATACGTTGAAGAAAAGCTGTGTTCCCCATCATCCTCATGAGACTGTGAGCTTACATGAAACCTGTTATCAAGAAGGTGTATTTGGTTATTTGGTTGTTCCTGGGTGTGGTTCTGAGGGTTATTAATTTTGACCCCATCGGTGTCTGAAACATTGGCTATTAAATTCTCTTGCTTGGGGCTTTCAATTTGGAGGGGCATAGAAAATGTCTGGACGGTTGACAAATGAGGTTTGCATGAGGAAACACACAACTCAGCATTTAATGAAGGCTGTGGAGATGATTGGGAAACAACAAACATCTGTGGTGAGGTCTTTAACTCTCCTTGTGTCTGCCTAGTAGACTTGAGCGAAGAGTAAGGTGGGGTGCTATAGCGATGTCTATAACCACTTAGAAAGTCAGAAGGTAGGGAAAGGGGAGAAGAGTAACGACGCTGAACTACACCAGACTCTACTGATAGCGTAGGCTCCTGCTTGGTTGTAATTGGGCCCTTTTTTCCTTGGTCAGAAATCATAGTATCACCAACTTTATGCTTGCTTTTGTCATGCTCACTGGTCTCTACCTCAACACAATCAGTTGAGAAGGAGCGAAAATTCCCACCTTTTCCCATTTCTGTTTTTAAGCTCCCTCGGTCAGAGGCATAAACAGGAGATCCACCCCCTTCTGCAATACCTGACTGTAGATATGAGAAGATAGGGGATCCTTGGGAGACTTTTGTGGGGGCTGGAGAGTTTGATTGGACCTGGACAGGATCTGGCTTGTCCACACTGACTGACTCTGAACACTTTACATCTACTGAGTCCTGCCATGTAACCCGCCTCTCTCTTTTACCTTTCTTTTTGGGATCTCTTTCTAAACTGTTGTAAACTATGCCTTTTAACTTGGGTGGAGAAGTTTCTGAGGTGGGACTAGGATTTACAGGGGTTGTAGGGGGAGTTAGAACTGAGGAAGCAGTGATAGAAACAGGAGATGTAATGGTGGAAGGGACAGGAGGGCTTAGGGTGGACAGACTATGCTGGGGGGTAGCAGAAGATGTGGTTGGACTGGCGGATATGGAGCTGGCTCTCATTTTGTTTGTGTTTTCAGTTGGACTAAGGCTGGTCGCAGGTTTAGAGAAGAAAGGTTTAGGAAGGAAGACGTAACCTCTTTTAAAGCCAAGAGGTGAGACATTAGATTTACTGGTAAATACAGATGTCTGTCCTGCAGAGGAGTAAATATTGGTGTTAGATGAAAACTGACCAGACTGGAAAGAAGATGTGTTTTTTGTGTTTGAGACGGAGGAGTGTTCAGATGTTGTTTGAGAAAGAGAAGGCTGACTTCTGGAAATGCTGGTATACTCATGATAATGAGGGAGTTTTGTTTTGTTTTGAGATGTACTAGCAAGTGTGGTTTTGGGTGGGGAACCATTGTATTTACCAAAGCTGTCTGCAGGTGGATTGGAGGTCATGGCAGGTTCATGTGCTATAAACAAAGTATTTCTTTCATCATTCTTGTCTGGAGCATTGGTGTGCCTTAGTTTCGTTTGTGCTGGAACTGTGCTAAGTTTAGAAGGCAACCAACAGTCAGGCATACTCTGAGGCTTTTGTGGTTCCCTTTTGTCTACATTTAAGCCATACTGTTGGGTGGCAGCCTGCTCTGATTCAGTTGATTGCGTCTTCAAAGAGAGATTCGTGTTAACTTTGCAAACTAACTCTTGTGTGTTTTTGTTATCGCTGTTATTCTGCGTATAACTAGCCAGCCTTTTGTTGTCTGTAGCACTTAGATAGTTTGTGTTTAGGTTGTCTTTTTTGTTGCCTATGTTGTTTTTCACACTGAGGGGAGAACTGCTTTCCTGAGAAACTTGTTTCCACCAGTGAGTTGATTTCATGTCTGTTCGCCTAGGAGGAGTGTATGTTTTTAAAGGTGCAGAGAGATCATAATGAAAGTATCTGGTTGTAGAAATTGGGTTCTTTTGGAGGGAGTTTGCAATATTTGCATTTTCAAAATCCTGGTGCCTCTCTAGGTTACTTTTACCCGGTGCTGCAGCTTCAGAAGATCTTAAACTAGTCTGGGTCATGTGTACTGGCTGAGACTGTTGGGTAAAGGGATTCTCTTTCATACTTCTGTTTGTTGGTGAAGTTAGAAATAAAAACTTATTCTCTCTGTGACTTGAACCTACTGGATTGACAACTGGCCCAGTTCTAACTGTCCTGCTAGAAAGAGTTGAGGGAGAGAGGAGAGTCTTTGATCTCTCCTGTCCATTGCTATTGTGAGAACTGCTCAGAGAGGTGGGCTTTACCTCAGGGACAACAGGAGCTTGACATGAATTTGTTTCATTGAGATTGATTCTTCTAGAAGACAGAAGAACAGTGCTAGTTGTTGGTTTTGAGCTAAGAGAAGATTGTCGTTCTTGGGGGTTCCTCGTTTCATTCAAGTTAAGAGAGAGGGGGGACGAGGGCATTGCAGAAGATGCTGAAGGGCTTAAAGCACCCGAATCAAAAGAAACAGTCTGAATAATGTCCTTTCTAGTAGTAAAATCCAAGCTTGAAGGATCACTTTTACTTGACCAGCCAACTGTATAACTCCTGGAGCTAAGAAACGGGACTCTCCTTGGAATGTTGCACCCATGTGTCAGTACATTCTTTATACCATGTTGGTCCACATGCCCCTGGACACTTTGTTGTTGATTTGGTAAAGTATTTGCTGCTTCTTGCAAATCCACCTGAGCTTCTGAATATCCAGATCCATCAAACCTTTTGGTCCGTCTTAGACGGCTACTCCACTGAGAAGCCAGAACTGTCACCATGGTGGAAGACAACATGGGTACAGGTTCATCAGAAAGGTTCCCAAAAGGAGAATAGTTTTTAAGGTTTGTCTCGTGCTTTATGTCTGTTCTAGTTCCAGTTAAAGATCCAAGGCAATGTTTTGGGTGTGTCTCACATAGAGGTCTACACAATCCATTGTGTTCACATGCTCCAGTGATGTCTTTAGAAAGAATGTGAGTTCTGCTTGGGTTCCTGGTAAGTCCTAGATCATGGTTAAAAGCTCTGAGTTCTTCTGGCTTCTTGGGGGATAATGGGACAGTCTCCGAAGATGGACACAAGCTGGTTTCTTCTATAGGGGAGGATGAGGATTTCCCATTAACCTGTCAAGATACAGAAAAATTATTGCCATTGCCTGAATATAGCTGCAATATGTTTCTTTTTACAAATTATATACTGTGTAGTTTGCCTTTTTAAACGCAGTGGGGAGCATAAACACTCCTTAAACTTTTCACATTTTTGCCACATTACAACCATTAATTTTATTATAAAGCTAAGATGCTAGACCGTTTAGCAAGCTTTTGCATTCAGCAAGTTAAGTCATTACTTTACAGGCCTAACAATAAACCAGCTTTCAAGATCTAAATATTTTAATCTAATAAGACCTTTTTCTTTGCAGAGTAACCAAAGCCCAACCAGAATGAATGCAGAGCATCTGTAAAAAAGAATACATATTCGAGTCTTGTCAAAGATTTTCAACAAGATTTAGATCTGGTCTTTAATCATTTCCTTATATAACATCATCATGCTTTGAATCAATTAATTCTCTTTTAGCTCTGGCTGTATGCTTGGAACCCCTGTACAACTGGATGATTTCCATGCACCAATTTCAAGTCTTATGCAACCCCTTAAAGGACTTTTCAAGTTTTGTAATTTATAGAAAAGACAACCTTCATCAAATTAACTCCCCATTTTTCATAGCATGATGCTCCCACCATTACGCCTCATTGTGAGCAGATTGAGATACAGGGTTAGTTTCAGCATTACATAGTTTGCTATGTATGTTTAATGTTTAATTTTGTTTTGACCCAGAGTTACGTGACAATATCCAATATAATAAATAACATATCCAGTGTTAAACATCTCTGTTATGTGATTTTTTTCAGTTCTCCACTCTTCTTTTTGTTGAAGAATGTTTGCTAAAGGTGACTTATGAAGGCAGATTATTTATATCAGAATATAAATGAGGATGTAAGATGAAGTAATTAGGATTTTTTTTATTGGTGAAAATGTCTTTAAGATGTGTAACGTTTTTCTTTAACTCTTAAGTTATGTGCCACTTTACATAGGTCTGTTGCATAAAATACAATAAAGTTTGTGGTTGTAATGTGACATGTTAAAAATATTTCAGTGAAATTACACTTTTGCAAGGTAGTTTATATTTAACTACAGTTATGATAGATCAATGTTTCAGAACGGCCTAGTTGTTTTCATAAGTCAACTTACTCTTATCTTATCTTACCAATGCAAATTCCTAAACAGTAATAGAGAAATCTCTCAGGCTTTTACAGCAGGAAACATGCTATCAGAATTTTAAATATCACGCTGACATGAGCAGGAGGTTTTCTAAAGTTTTGTTCCCATGAGATCGCTATTTAAGAGTTTGAAGCTCAGACAAACAGGTTATTGTGAAAGGCATGAGAGAGTTCCAAAGACAAGAAAGCACAAACACACCCTGTCTCTCTTCTAACTGTTAAAATAATCATCAATCTAAAATGTTTTTAAGTGTCACTCAAAGATCCCAACAAAGCACACAGTCACCTGATTTTAAAGAACCGAAAGCATTGAAGTCACTCCATGATTAGAGTGGGAACATTACGAATAATGTGGAAATATAATCTGTAATTGGTTGTGATGAAATATACTTTACCTGCAAGGTGCTGTGCTTGTTCTCAGCTGGCTGTGGGTCAAACAAACTGAAAACCAGAAAGACACAGAAGAAATAATTGATTAAATACTTACTCTATCTAATTATTAAAAAAAGAGAGAAAAAAGTATTTTTTTTGTTTTTCTTAACAACAGCAAGCAAATCTGCACAACTGTTAGAACAATAATTAAATGCTGCTAGACACACCCAGCGGTTCCCTTGTCTACTGTAATGTTTTTAACCACAACATTAGATGCATAACATGTCCAACAATTTTGAAGAAAATGTTGATCAACAGGATCGCCGGCATTCCTCGCCTCGTTCGTTCTACTCTAAACAGCTTTCCCAGAGTCAGATGAACTCCGGCTTTGTACAGAATGCACACTCAGCCGAGCACTTTCAAAGCTTTTAATATAAGGCGGGACACAAGTATAACAACAATAACACACACACACCCTGTATTAGAGATGTCTATATAAGGGAATAACAGTCTAATGTGATTTAGGGTGGACAGAAGACAAAAAAGAGAAGAGGGTAAAAGTGAAGGTAGAACACAGTACCTAAGCTGAAAAGCTAATCGCAGTTATATTTACCTCCTAGTGTCGTAGTCAAGACCACACCAACTGAGACCAAGGAGTGCAGAGACAAGACCAAGACCATATAGGGTTTTAGCCTTGTCTTGGTCTCGGTACTTCTTGGTCTTGACTACAACACTCTCCTCACACTGTGACGAGCAAATGTACAGAGCTCCACATATGATGCATTTTAAATAAAACTTTGTCCCTATGCCTGTCCTCCTTGTGTCCCAGTGATCTGGGGGACCTTTGAATATTTGGGGCTTGTGTCGCCTCTTCTTCTATCCAGGGCCCTGTAGTGTGAGTCTGGGGCCGCCCACACCTGCTATTAAGAATACTTTCCCTTTAAAGAAGCTTTGTAAATCATTTATACACGAGCAAGCCCATGCATACATACCACAAGAGTTTGTTTCCATGTGTTGACGGATACTTAATAATACTAAATACCAAGCTGCAGCAACAGAAGTATACCACCCTGAATAATATTGATTTATCACCATAGGACTTGCCTTCAACACACATAGATGTCTAAGGGACTCCCGCTGCTCTCTGAGCTTTTCTTTTTGTTTACTATGTCTAGTTTTTGCTATTGTTAAGTTCCCTGTTTTCTTTACCTATGTGGAGCAGACTTCTAAGGGTTACTGTATATCTGTTGTCTCTTTTTATGCACTCTTTCCTCTTACCTCCTTTTCCATCTCTGTAGTATACGGTTTTACTCACTAAATAATGTTCAGTATAGTTCATATATAAGTATCAAGTGGAACCTTATGGCAACATTCATAATGGTCTGCTTGTGAAAGCAAAGTTGTTGAACTATCAGCTAGCTCTGGGACATCTATTCCCAGAGCTATATTGGCAAAACAGGAAACACAAAAAAAAAAAACTATGACTAGTATGATTTATAGTCATGCATCTGAAAAATGAAAGTGTGTATAGAGTCCACGGCATCATCAAAGAGTATCTTTCAGTGGAATACAGCTTAGGGATCTGAGCTATTTGACAAATGAAATCTAAGAATGTAGAGTTAGATTTCCAGAAAGATGCCTCAAAGTTGATTTATCGATTGATTAATTGACTTTAATGATCTCACAGTGGAGAAACGTACTCCTCACATCAGCTCAAATTGTCAAAAAGAGAAGAAGAAGGTGCCAAAAGAAGAAAAAGGTGCATGGGATATGTACAGTATATACAGTGCGTCCACATATGAAAGCTTTAAAGTGGTCGGGAAGCGGCTGTTCCAACCGTTGCATTACCGAATTCTCCCAAGTGGTGCCCGATTTTACACGAGTGAATAAAGTGAATGTGATTAGTCGTTTAGCAAGGGTGCGGGATTGTTGTGGTGAAAGGTTGGCAAGCAAGTTTGGTAGTGGCCGGTGTCTTTGAACCATCTTGCTAACCAGTTAGCAACTTAATGCTAGTAGGTTCCCAATGGGAAATTAAATTTAACACCAAGTAGCACTTAGCAAAGACACTGTCAAGGAACACTACGGACAGCGGAAACAGGCAAGAGGAGGAGAGTTTTGTGTCGGAGGTCGTGGACGAGTCTCCTCCGTCAAACATTTTTTATTTAGAGGAAGAAACCGGGAACAAAGTTGTTGTGGAAGAGGACGCCAGGGCGGCAGAAGCTTGGTTTGCTGTAGAAGGCTTACAGCCGTACATGTTTGAGCCCTTGCCTCGCAACGCTGCCAGTTCACAGACGTCCATCCCTGTGAACACTGGGACGTAAACTCAATGGGAAAGTAAACGATTCTTATTTATTATTTCAGTAGTTGCGTATATTAGCGGCGACATGTGAATAAAATGATATGACTGAAAACATTTGATTGACAGATGACTGTTGATATATGATTGGTTGAATTTAGGTGTACAAGCTGACGTATAATTAAATAGCCTGAATAAAATAAGGGGAAGAAAACTGATTTTAAGTGAGAATTTTTTTTAATAGAAATTTTTTAAACTTTTGGGACAATATGGTCTGATAAAGAGTACATTTATATGTTTAAGCCACAAGGATTTGAAAGTTAAATATGATTTCTCTACGACTTTAAGAGTTTTACCATGATATTTTTGAAAATCATAATAACAAAATAGCCCACTCCAGTGATTAGTATTAACTTTTAAGACTCTCAGTGACCTTCCAGGTGCTCACTGGCAGCAGGTAATTCATCACAGATTAGGGGGAGAAAACAAGGTTTAAAGTTACTGTTTGACTAAATGATAGAAAACATGTGATTTAAATGGCTCAATGAACCTTTATTGGCAGATATTGTAAAACAAAACATTCCATACCTGGGATGTTGACCCGCTGATGGCTCTGAAGTCTTCTCCGGTCTCTGCTTTGGTCCGGAGAGTCTAAGAAAGACGCTGGTGACGAAGATGGAATCAGCAGAGCTTTCAATCTGGACCTCAGAATGACCCCAATAATAATGAGCCTTGTCCTTCCTGAGGCTGTCAGCTGCTAACGTCAGTACTGCAAAAGATTTAGAGTTGAACGGTGAAGTCCAGCTCATGTTTTTTTGTCTTTTCATGGCATTGTGTGTCAGATCCAAACATTACCTTCGTCAAGCTCTTCCTGACTGAATGCTGCTGGGTGCTGATCAGCTGATGTTTCACTGCAATTCTGGTTCTCTTGACTGAATCGGCCCACAAAGGTTTTATCCCGGTGTTCACTAATGAGATATAAAGAGAAAACAAAACATTAATCAGAGTGCTCTATTATTACTGAGGATTTTCCAAAGCAAAGATTAAAAGCCTCCGCAGGTTCCTTTCAGTTAGATGTGGTTTTTCTACCTCTAGTTTATCTGATCCACCAACTGGTTTTGCCTGATTATTTTCCTTGGAACATTGTTCACGCTCAGCGCTGAAGGAATCTAGCAGCCTTGAAGGCTACATAAATAATAAACATGATGATTGTTTAACAGAAAGTGTATTTTTTTCCTTTCATTTCTTATTTTAAATAAAGCTACACTACTGGTTCATCATAAAATAATGAACTAATTAATCTATTTTCCGTAGCGCAGATTTGAAATAAATAAAACCATGTTACGGTGTTAAAGCCTCTGCTGTCATAAGCAGGAAAAGCTGCCAACAGGTTGTTTAAGAGACACAAACTGTCCCACCTCTACAGGAGGGCAAAGCAAGAAGCTGACTGCCTCTACAAATGGAAAGTTAATTAGAAGGTAAAAGTGTGGAATAAAAAGACAAATATATGCAATAAAGATAACCTCAGCCCTGAAATTATTGTGAAGCAAAGTCCATTAAGGAAGTAGGAGCAAATTCCTGCACTATGGACTGCCTCATCATTTTAGAGACATCTATAGGAGATGGTTTACAAATGTGACATTCCTGGTGTGAAGCCACCTCATGCTTCCGTATAAAGAACATCTTTGTATAGTTTTATTAAAAATAATATATTCTTAGAAACTGTTTCCATATTTTTTTTAGTTGTAAGATAAATGCTTAAAATATCTACCTCTAGATGTAGTCCACACTGAGTCTAAAGTTTTATCGGCTAAAGCTTACACAGCAATAATGCCATTAATAAGCAATGGAATTTCAAGGGTAGATAAAATCAGCAATAATCTGATATAAACAAGCAATAAAAACAAGATATGCTGCTAATTTGATATTTAAGATGATGAAAGAAAGGGTACACTGGTTCAACAGATGGGGAAAAAACAGAGAAGAGTTTTAATGTTCTCTAACATGGCTCGAAAAAAAATAATACCCAACTCTAATTGCCTTTATCTGTTTTATATGAGATTTTAAATCAGTATCGATTGTTTATATTGTGACACTTTTACTGTCTTCATGGCTTTTTATGTCCATTTTGTCTTACTGTAATGTGAATTTCCCAGAAGTGGGATCAATAAAGTGTTCCTTTATCACCATGACCATCAACTGCACAATATTAGCAAAACCTGCAAAATGCGACAAAGATGGTAAATGTTGCAATACTAATAATGTATGTAAAAGTATTTTTTGTTTTGGGTTCATTGTAAACATAGAACCCAGAAATGTAATCCTCTATCCAGCTGGAAATAAAAGTTGATCTTATTATTTCCACAATTCAGTCAAATGTGTCAAGAATGTGTTGAAAAGAAGTAATAAAACCAAATCAAAGAGTCTCTCCTTTTGCATATGTAATAAGTCGTTGTGACAAGCACCCTGTGTACCACTGTGTCTTAAATTGAAGCAAAATGAAAAGAAAATTAGCTGAATTGTATAATTGTGTTTCCATCTGAAGGAGTTTTATTGAAACAATTAAGTTAAAATAAAAGCAAATGTAAAAAATATGCAACTAGAATTAAACTTCAGCATCGGTCAATCGGACGATTTTCCCTGTGATCGGCCACGACCAGCAACCAGCCGGTCCTTATGAGGAGCACCAATTTTAAGCATTGTATTATTGAGTAATTTATTTCTGTTGCCAGAGAATAGGACAGTATTACTTTGGAGAAGCATGCCATGGTGAGTGAGCAGCAAGAGGCTAGCTTCTAGAGGGTGAAAATGACAGCAGGGGAGTGTTTGAGGCAGACAGAGCGGCAGAGCAGTGAGAGAAAGATGCTGCTGTTCAATGTCTCCGCTTGATGTAGGACCACGAAACAGTCCTTCTAGTACTAAATTCAAACTGCTTTTTTAAGAACAACCTAAAAACCTCTAAAGAGCATTCCCGCATCATCCTCTGCCAACATTATCTTTTCTAGCTTCCATTTTAGTTAAAAAACGCTTGCTTTTGCTGTGTCGTTCACTAAAACAATGGTCAATTCATGATATAATTTTGATGTTTGATGCTATGATCGGTGCCTGTCTCACAAAACCCTGACTGAATAGAATTATCAATAATCAATTATGTTATCAGACAAGAATTGTAAACAAACACAGTCAGTTAAATCAACCCAAAAACAGTTCAAGCAGGCCTGGAGTCTTTCTCACATAGTATAAGTTTTTTGAAAATGGAGTTTCTCTAGTTTCATATGAGTTTCTCTCATATGAATGCAGAAATGAGCAAACGTCCCGTGTAGCGTTTCTTTCACTGAGTCCACGTCTGTATGTGTCGCCACGTTTGTCTGGGTTGTTCTAAAACCATAAATAATTATGCAACTTTTTATATATTTAGTCAAACTCTTGAGAGGCTGTGGCCGCGTCAGGATGCTTACTCACATCCTGTGGGACTAGGTTTGAAAACTAAGGCTTTGTTTGTTTCGCACAATAATCCAAGCTAATCAAAACAATGTACTGGACAATTCAAAAAGTAAAATGGAAGCTTATATGTATTTGCTTTTAAAAAACTCCCTTTATGTTTCACAGTAGCTCTTAATTACTTCTAATCTAAAGTACTGGATCAGAATATTTGCTCTCAGTAATAGGTCCATCTAATTAAATTAAATGCAAATTTTAAAAATACATTATTAATCCCAAATGGAAGGTAAACTTTATTATTATTAATAATAATAATAACAGGTATATCATTTGTTTTGAAACCCTTTTGTATGGACCTTTCGGTTTTGTACGATTATGCACTGAACAAATGCAGTGTTTTAAACTTTTGCACATGCAGAGGATTTATGAGCCGGTCTAAACTGCACAAGATTTAAAATTCAACATGTGAATTCAAGTGACCAGACAATGATGGAGCACTGGAAACAAACCAAAGCTTAAGCACCTCCTCCACAATAATTAAAGGCTAAAGTTTGGAAACGTTATGTTTTCTCTGTCAGCTGCAGTGATGAAGATGGAAACAAGCAGACAGCTACTGCTACACAACTGGAAAATATACAGAAGATAACAAACAAGGACTGCAGCCCCTCTGCGTCATGGTTTTGGTTCTGTTTAAGTTTTATCTTTTAGTTTTTATTGGTTTTATTTCTATTTTGTGTTATTCTAGTTATTATTTTTTTTTTGCATTTGAGTTCTTAAGCTTTTCCTGTTTTCCCTCTGTTCACACCTGCTCCCAATCGGCTGATTAGCCTGGTCTTTGTTTCTGTCTCCCATATATACACCTTCTGCTCAGTCACTGTTGCTGCTGTGTCGTCATTTCTTTGCTCATTGTTGTGAGTATTCCTGGTTCTCAGTTTTTTTGTGTATTTATGTTTTATGATATTTACTTCTGTTACCCTTTTTGTTTATTAAATCTGCAAGTAACCACCTCCTGCTTCATTCTCTGCATTTGGGTCCTCTCAAACCCCCACCCAACAAGACACTTTGGCTACGTTCACACAACAGGCCTTAATGCTCAATTCCGATTTTTTTTGTGTGAAATCCGATATTTTTTGCGTTGCCATTCATATTTCCAAATATATGCGACTTGTATGTAAGCTCCTGTGTGAACTGCAGTCAGACAATGCAAGTGTCCCACATGTGCAGTAGAGGACGCAATGACGTCACAGGCCAGCGTGCTCTGTGTTTATGGAAATAAACATGGATGGTAGTGCCGGCGCGCATCTAGCGATCTTTTCCAACCATAAAAACTCAATCTTTTCAATATGGTTAAACATAAATACTGCTCTCCGCATCATCATCTGCCATGGTTGTTGTTTTTCTTGCCGCTTCTGCGTAGCAAGACGCATAATAGTTACCTTTGTCGTGTATAAATTGCGTTCAGGTCGGATGAATGCGACCTGGCCGTTCAGACACAGGTTGCATTTTAAAAGATCAGATTCGTATCGGATTCAGGAACACATAGCCAAGTGGCCTGGGTTGGATTAGAAAAAATCGGATCTGCGTTGTTCAGACAGCCATGAAAAGATCAGATCCAGGTGGCATATGGGCCAAAAATTTGGATTTGGGTCACTTCATGCTGCGATGTGAACGTAGCCTTAGAAGTCCAATTATTATTAGAATTGATAATCATAGATATGTGAAAAAGCAGCTTGTTTAGTTCTGCTGGTTAAGGCTAAAAAAAACAAAACAAAACAAACTACTATCACAAACATTACGAATAAAATAGTTGAGAAACCCTGTCTGCAGACATACTTTAATATAAGCCAAGAAAGAAAAGTATCCTATGATGTGGGGATATTTTAATAATATGACAAGAAAATATATAGCAACATGTTTTCTGTTGGCAGCAAAATAATTTTGGGAGTGTTGCATGAGAAAAATTATACCGCCGATGAGCTCTGGGGCTTCCGTACAATTTAGAAAAACAAACCGTATAAACACAGCAGGGCTAAAACAATGAATCGGATTAATCAAGATTAATTGGTTATTGAAATATTCATTAACTATTTTTCTAGTCGATTAATTGTTGAAAAGAGTTCTAAAACAGGCTTTTAGCTAGCATTGGTACAGGCATACATTGTACAGCCTTTACTGAAAAAACGACAAATTGTATACCGGGTTTTTCTCCTGTATTTGTACAATATAAAAAAATTAAAAATGCAAGAAATAGCATTTCAGAGAGTCTAAATTTCAAAATTTTCCAGGGGAAGGTTTAGCTTCACTTTGTTTAATTTCTGTGCAAAATCTTTAAGAAACCTTTTCCCATCCGATTTATAATTGATTAATAAAAAAAAGAATTGACGGATTAATCACTTTGCAAAATAGTTAGTTGCAGCCCTAAAACACACATTGCTGGATTTTAGAAAGCTGGATAACAGGAAGGCCACATGACTTCCATACGTTTAGGGTGAAAGATAACTGAAATTGTTGCTTGTTTATCCTGTTTACGGTAGAAGTAAAATGTCCAAATAAAATAAAAATATATTTCCTGTACTGATGAAATGCAATCTCATTTGTGTTGGTTTATCACCGGAGCCTAAAAAATAAAATCAGAAGAAAAAATCCCGACTCTCTCATCAATCATTAACGCTCCGCATGTCTCTGCAGTCATAATGTCTGCAGGATGGGACCAGTCTGAAGAAAAGGCCAAAGGTAAACAGCCACACTTCTCGCTGAAACTATGAAACCAATTAGAGCTTATGTAACAGCCAAACCGTTTCTCCTTCACCCTCAAAATCCGAGCGGAGTCGCCCACTCACACAGTCACTGAAAATTTGCAAATGCGTAACAACGGCTGCAACCCGCAGCTGCTGTGCCAAACTTGGCCCCTGCAGTGACAGTGCAGCAGAGGTCAGCGCTCCTCTGCATGTGCATCAACTCTCTGCAACCTCTCCTGATCAAACATTAGAATCAGGACATTATCACTCCCTTCTTATTAATAGACATGCCTAAAATGCAGCATTATGAAGTATACCTGTGCCTTATTTTCTATGTTCCTAACAAAGCAGAATCACACCCTTGCCCTCAGGGGTGACTTACTGGCATCAAACAAGAATAATCTGCACTAAAGCCTGCTGGAACAAGAGATAAGAGCAAGGAACAGACAGGGAAGTGAGGAAGGAGGGTGAGGGCCTTGGATAGCACACCTTTGGTGCATTTTTTAAGCCCTATTCTCCTTCAGGCATCTGAAGAAATGTCACTTGGCAAAGATACTAATGCTTGTAAACCTGAGGGGGGGCTCCATGGGGGAAAAAAAAACCACTCTGGGATTGTGGAACAGGATGCCATTTATACAAATTAATCAGTACCGTGTCCTTTATAAGAGAATGACTCCACCCGAATAATTCAAAGGTCACTAAAGATTGTCAAGTTTGCTTGTCAGGCATCTTGCAAATATGTAAGGCGGGGCAGGTAATTATTAGCGCTGTCCTGGGACTACAGTCCCCTTAAGCGAGACACCTTTCTGTCCTAATTGGTCCTCTGGGTGGTGGAACTACATGAGCACACAACGGGTGTGTTCACTTTCTCTGGCATGAGAGCTTAATTGCTTTATCTCTCTAATTAATCCTGCATCGTCAGAGCATTAAGATACCTCAGTGCAACAAACGTGCCTAAAGCGTGCATGTGAGATCAAAGCTGCACAAGTATCAGGAGGTTTAGAGACTCCCAGATGAAATGGTGATGAGATAAAGGGCCCCGATGCTCATCAGCCATTCTTTGTGAATGGTCTCCATTATGCCATTTTTCTGACCTTTTCTTACTGCCGTGGAGACTAAATGGGCCAATGGGGGTTCCAAGTCCCAGCAGTGGTGGGCTGTTAAGGCCAGACCAGCATAATTAGCTCAAACAGAGGCTGTATAGAAATGTGTTTGTTGTTTCATCAGCGACTAAAGCTGATGTGGTTTAATGGGGAGAGATTCAAGTTTTTCTTTCTGTATGTGAGGCACTTATAGGTTTATTCTGCTTTGATCTCTATCAGCATCAGAATCCCACATCGACGTATTTAGATGAGAAACTTTATAGCTGGAGTCCTTTTTTCACACACATCTTCTGTGTCCTACTGTTCTCTTGCCTTTCACAGTTTGTAAGACGAATGGGTCTATGTGTCAAAATGATGCCCCGAGGAAACAGGAAGTCATTTATTTTTTCCTTTTTTTGACAATTATGAATTAAAAACCTCAAACATATATTTTAAAAACTTTATTAAAGACACTAATATTTTCTACAATTTAATTATTTCAGAATAAGGATCATTTTCCTGATCATAGCTGTCTCAGATCAGGAATCTTGACCTGGAAACACCTGCTGCACCACTGATCAGGATTTCACCAGGAAGACTATTTGTAAATGGATCATTGAGCAACATGTCAGTGTTTTTCTAAAAAATAACAGCTGTATTGTTTGGACTTCTCAAGTTTTTGTTTGCAAATTCCACAGTTTTCCATACATTTTGTATTTTTTTGGGGGGGAGGTGTAAAATTTTTTATGATCTCATTTTACTTGAAAAAATTCCATGCTAAACACTCTGTTTGCCACGAGAGTTTCTTTATTAGTCCTGCATAGAACACAGAAATTGTTTAGATCTTTTCTTTAAAGATGCAATCAATAAACTCTTCATTTGTTAAATTTCAACTTGGCATCATAACGACCACCAGATCAGACAGAAACACTGTTTAAAAACCCTGATCCAATGAGGCCTTTTCCACTAAATGACTCAGAATCCTGAATACTGACCACTAAAATCCTATAATGAAGATTCAAACAGTGAAATGGAAAAATGCAGATTTTTTTTCATTTTTAGAAATCTAATCAAGTTTGGAAATACAGCTTCTTAATAACAAATACTTTTAATTCATACTTTGCTAAAAAATAGAACCAAAATAAATTCACAAATTTCCCAAGAAAATTTGGAAACCAGCTATATGTCATATTTAACTATTTATTGATGCATAAATAATAATAATAATAATAAAACATTGTTCTATTCTATTAAATAGAGCACAGACATTGCTGCTGTCTTCATTTATGTCTTAAATTATTATAATTTTTATAGAGACCTTGAAGAATGTTGCTTTTTTTAAAACTAAAGGATTTTCCTAATTTTGACTCAAACCTGTGGTTTCAGACACTAGAGAAGAAAAACACCTAAAGCCATTAGTGACATTTAACCTGCTGTTTATAACAGAGGAAAACAAACTTTCACCGTTGTTTGACAGCTGATAAGCAAAGAGCCAGTTATCATGACAAGCATCTGAAGCTCTCTTTGTTGAGATGGTCTGTAAGCGGATGAGTAACTGAGAGGCTTATTTTGGCTGCACCATTATGTGCCTAAAAGATGTTGCTGTTTTCCTCCTTTTTTCCTCCATGAGGTCAGCTTCTCTGTGGGTGTGTATGCAAGCTGCCAGTTATGGCTTACATAACTGCGAGGACTCGGCCTGAACTTAAAGTGTGGGCGTGTGCGCGCTCGGCTCTGACGAGCATATGCAGTGGCTCAACTCCTGCAAATGATTTACTCCTTAAAATCCCGCTTAATATCCTGCCAAATGAGTCTCCACTTAATGGTTTAGTGATACATTTGCACAGGTGTCAACAAAGAAGGGGACCAGGACAAAGTGAGACTTGTTCTGCTGCTGCCACACCTTCCCTGCAAGTTAGATGTATAGAAAGACTGTTTGTTTTGCAGACTTTAGGCTGGTATACATTATATGTCGGCTTAGCAGGAGTTAGGAGGAGAATAAGATACATTTGAGCTTCAACGTGCACAGACAGTAATTGTGCATATATAGATTGTTGAAGTGCAGAGCTTGGTGAACATGTACCAGCTCGTCAGGTAAAGCACGAACAACTATGCCCTGAAGTAGCACAACCCGATGCTGCTGCTTCATGCTTCCAGTCAAACCGATGCATGGATGCATGCAGCCACACTGGAGTATGGGTATGTTAAAGTGCCAAAATTCAATAAATAGATTAAAGATTACTTAAAAGTGTCAATGTTAAAGTAAAAGTAGAAATAAATACCTGAATATATGATCCAATATGTCATGACATAAACATGAAGAGAAAAATTAAGTCCCCATCAATCACAAAAATCAGACATTTAGATTATTTAGATTATATCTATGAACTCTGTGTGGGATGTTTTTAATGTATCTAATCTGTCAGTTTTTTTTTAAATCAATGTCTCTGTAGCAGTCAAAGTAACTCATTAAAAATCAAATTATTGCAAAGTTTTAGGATGTTGAAGTGCGCTTGCAGAAGGGAGCAAAAGTTTCAGTTATTTTCAAGTGTTTATGAACAAAGGAAACATGAATTTATTGAATAAATTCTATAATAACAGAATAGTACGGAAGAGGATTAGGGCCGCAAAAAAAAAATAAAATAAAAAAAAGTTAACTGGATTTTACATTTTATTTCAGTATTAGAAAAAAAATCTGAATTCTGAGTTTAATCTCAAAATTCTGAATGAATTCTGATAAAGCTAGAATTCTGAGAAAAAAAGCCAGAATTGTGAGATTAAAGTGAGAATTCTGAGATTAAAGTGAGAATTCTGAGATTAAAGCCAGAATTCTGAGATTAAAGTCAGAATTCTGGAATAATCAGAATTCAGAATAATACTGAAATAAAATTAAAAAACTTTTTTAAAACTTTTTTTTATTTTTCCAGTGGCCCTAATCCTCTTCCATAGAACAGCACTAAACGAAACTATACCTAATCTAAAATGGACCAGAACGCTAAGAAAACAACACAGCACGACAAAAAAATAAATTAAATAAAAATAAACAAACATGGAATTTAAATAATGACTTTCATCTAAACGCGAAATTTACATACAAAGCAATTGTTATCCAAATTTACACGTTGTTTTCCCTGAGGAATCATTGTTTCTGCGTAAAAACCCTCTGGACAACATCCAAGATGATATATAACTTATAAGAAGTAAGCTTGAAGAAATATTCTAACGCCGAATTCATCTAAAGGAAAAACTCAATCAGTCAAAGTTAATTTTTTTATATTACAGTTTATATTTCTACCTGATATCCCGTAAGGTTTTAAATCCGCTGTTTTCGTAACAGGATTCGCTTACGCTCGTCTACCATCACCGCAAAGCCGTCTAGAATCGCTACTAAAAGCCGCGCAGCTTTAAGAAGTGCTAAGGATCGTGTGTAAAACGAATAAAAAGCCAAAGCATCACAGAGTTATAACACAGAATCTGGTAAAAGTGAGTTTTAAGTGGTTTCCAGCTACCTTGCAGCTGTAGTCCATGCAGATCCCGCTGTGGCGCACTGAGCCTTCGCAGCCTCTCCTCCTCCTGCTCCTCCTCCTCCAACTCTAAGCTCCTGCTCTGCTGCGTCACTTGTTGACATCCTATTTTAACCGGTTCAAGAAGACCTCAGCATTCTCACTGGGAGTGCACAGAATCTTAAAAATGCACAACGGAATTCGCTGGGAACTTACTGAGAAATACGAAGGCCAACTAGACGCAGCGTCAGGTTAAAGTTCAACATTAGTGGAAAGGGACAGGTGAGCGCAGGGGAGACACTTGCTGGGACAGATAGCCGGAAAAGGTGGCTGCCTAGTGTCCCATAGTCCTTCTCCTGCAGATCTTTTCTTAGCACCAACTCATCCCTTAGTAATGCACTGAGAAAACTTTGTAAATAGAAATTACTAACTATCCTAAACCAGTAGAGGAAAAGTTAACTCTAATGTTTTATCTGACCTTCTAATAAATTCATTTATGTTATGAACAATATGTTAATTAAATAGAGTAGAACCAGAGAAGACTAGAAGAAATGTTTCAAATGCTTTGGCTAAAAATCACTGTTTATGTTTGTTAACCCTTTGATGCCTGTTGATGCTAATAAGCAACAAACCACTTGTATTACACTGCAAAATTTTTTTATCTACCGTAAGTAATTTTTTACCAATGGAACAAGACAATTTACATTTAAAATAAGAAAAAAAACAACAACTGCAGTCTCTTATTTCCCAAAAGGTGCATAATATCTAATTGTCTTATTGTAAGGGTAAAAATGCTCGTTCCATTGGCAGATCATCTTATTTTCCAAGTCATATGAAGTTATTTTAAGAAATTTTTACTCATTTTCAGAACATTTTTGCAGTGTTGGCAAACAGCCGCCAAGGAGTTTTTGCATCACCCCAGTGCTAGTCACAGTGTAAGTTTTTATGAAGTTATAACTGCTCTTACAACATATATTTTACCTTCATTTCCATTTATTTAGTAACATTAACATTTATAATTTGTCATCTCATTGAAGGGAGAAAAACACACAAAATGTCTTTTTACATGTACATGTATATGTACAGGTTAATAAGACTTTAAGTTAAATATAAATCCACCAGGTACAAAAGAACACTGCAAGAGACATAAAATCTTGTAGGACTTGTTGTCAAATATCCATGCTGTACACAATTTCTTTATCAGTACCTCAGATTTCCTGTATTTTCAGACAATTGGGTCTACGTATTCTTAATACTGATGGATTTTCTGTTTTTCTAAACCTGGAAAACATTTCATAAACCTTGTTTTGTTTGTACTGTAAATGGCTCCTTGTCTTAACATAAACAGGCACAATTTATATTTTATTAAAAGCACAGGTTTGAATCTTTAAAATGTAGTGTTGGCAATTCTTTAGCGTTAATTATTCCTAATTAAGTTTTTTATTTTGAAATCAGCTTCTTAAAACCACTGATTGAATCCATTGACTATGGCGGTGGTTTCTTGATGGGCCCTGTCAACAACCCTTTTTAACAGTCGAACAAATAAAAGTCAACTGTATGACATATTGCAAAGAAACTAAATCAGAATGCCTTTTAATATAACATTCTTAAAATTTACAGTGTAATTACTGAAGGTTTAATTGATTTTTTTTTTCTATGTGTAACAGGATTTAACAATTCTTTTTAAATGACCTGACAACATTTATTCAACTTGCTGATACCTTGCCCTGTGCCCCTGCTATGAGTGAACCATACTGTAAACCACTGATTTATTGGATGAACAGAAAAAGAAAATGAATTTATATTATTTAGTAAATATATATATATATATATATATATATATATATATATATATATATATATATATATATATATATATATATATATATATATATATATATATATATATATACAATATATAATCTTTCACTCTGTGTTATTTTGAAAGCTTTATAAAAATACTATTATCAAAAACTGTAAACAAAGAATTCCTAAAGATCTGGATAGACATTTATTAAACATATTTTTTCTGTAATAAGCTCAAAATTCACACGTTTTCTCTATTAAACCAATTATTGTAACTCCAAAATAAAAAAAAGTGTTGCTGTGGTCAGTTCAATGTGTCATGAAGGGGTACGATTAATCATAAATCTACTTCAGGCCTCACTCAGCCCTGAACTGGATCTGAACTAGAAACGGTGCTGAAGAATGTTCTGCCATATATGGTAACAAACGTCACCTATTCTTCATAGCCCTTTTTCTCCTCTGTTTTGGTTTGTTTTTGTTCATGGCTTCCACACCCTCCATCGCCACCTGATCTGAGGCTTCACATCTCTGAGCTGAGCCTTTGCAGGGAAAACAGCACCCTCTTCCTGCCTCCCTCCACACACTGTTCTTTTCCACTGGAATGCAGGAAACGCTTGTTAGGGAGAAAGTAATCAGCAGCCACAGCCCAATTTAGGAAGCAACAACTGGAAAATTTTATGACTGGTAGGGGACTGATGTTGATTTAAACCTGTTTTATTAAAATTATGAGGGAAATATGGTTAAAAATTAGTTTGAAAAACAAAAAAAAAAACACCCAAAACTTCAAATTTAGTGTAAGGTATTTAGTGGGAAATCAAACACTAAATATACATTTAATAGAACCCTTTAAAACCAGATAAAGTGCATCAAAACTGTTTTTGTACTTGGCACGGGTTGGCCCTGAAGTATACAGTAAGTATGATATGATCCAGACACTATTTCTTTTAGTTACTCTTAAAAATGGGAAAGAAAAAAGAAGATAATTCTCAAGTAAGACAGATGTGTTTTTATCTTCAGAAGATCCCAAATCCATGAGGGTAATTAACCATTTTAGCTTTCTTATTTCTACAGCCAGTAGGATTTGAAAAAATTGAAATGAGTAGTTAAGTTTATATTGTTAGCTCAAACGGTAGTGCCTGTGATGCTGTGGACTCTCTTCTAATTGGATCCTGGGATTGTTGTTAAAGCTACCAATGGCAAAAGTTGATTGATCTGTTCCATTTTGGTTTATTTTAGATTGATGCATCAAATTTATTCTAAAGGCCTTAAGAGTATATTGCACAATGAACTCTGAAATTCCTGGATAATTTGAAAAAATAAAGGTATACTTCAAAATATCCATCACTAAATCTTCACAAAGGCGGAAAATCCATAACACAAGGTCTGATCAACATAGAAATGGTTAATTGTGAACAAAATCGACCTTTGTTTAATGTTATCTTAGTAAATCTTACAGAAAGACTTGATGAGATGATCTGAGACTTAAATATTTTTTTTTATTTTGAGTTTTTACACTAGTCACTTATTTTTATGGACAGGATGGGGCGAGGCATGCGGGAAAGGACCACAGGTCGAATTCGAACCCAGGTCAGCCACTTCGAGGACTAAGGCCTACATATATGGGTCGTGTGCGATAACCACTGCGGCACCAAAGCACACCCAGAAGTGTTTTTTTTTTTTTTTCAGATGGCTTTAAAATTTATATTTGATTCCAAAAAAAATTCCCAAATATTTTATTCTTTAGACATTTTAAAACAAGTCTCGTTTGGTCCTGGTTTGTCCCCCATTAGCCATTTTGACCTCTTGTTATAACAAGCCTGTGTTTATAAGAAATGGGAGAACCAAAAAAAAAAAAAAAAAAACATTTATAATTGTTGGAGTGACTCTGTATTTTCTATGATCTTTCACCTTTTTTCTCTCAACCTCGCACCACCTCACTTTATGCTCCAACTCACAAGATTGCTGTTTCCCTAAAGCACCTGCCAGGAATTTACTATAAATGTTTCCTCTCCACCAGTTTATGCATCTGATGGCAGTTACAGTATCCAGACCTCTTGATACTAGTTTCTTGGTTTGATTCCTTAGATTAATTTGTATATGACTCAACAAAAGTTTCTCTCACGCATTAATCATTTCGTTTACAACATGAACTCTGCTAACCAGTATGTTCTGTGGGCTTTTTGAGGCATTCCCAGGCCAAACAGGAAAAGAAGTTCCTGCTGGATGACTGAATTTCTCACTTTAGCTCTAAGCCCTTTAGGTCACCTTTTGGAGGAAGCTAATTTTGGCAGGTTTAATCACCTTTCATCTTTTTTCACTATGACCTATACCTCATGGCTATAGATGAGAACAGAAATATGCAAAAGATCATCAATCTTCTATGGACTAGTACTCCTGCAACCAAATCCATTTACCATGTGGTCCTTGTGAATAGATTAGTTAGATACTTTAGCTCCCCTGCTTTAAATAAGAACTGATTCCGATAGAAAAGAAAAAAAACAAACACCTTTTTTCCATGTGACAACCCTGACTTCAAATCCGGAGATGTTGACATTCATACTGGCTGGTTCACACTCAGCTGTTATCTGCTTTCAGCAAACTCAAGGCTGTGGCTTGTAGATTCCAACTGAAACCCATCATCCAACATAGTATGGAACCGAAGATCCCAAACAAGACCTCATTCTCCCTCCTTTAGATCCTGTGCAAGAGAACTGCTACCAGAACCCATTGGCAAGCACAAACTTTTCGAAGGGCATGGGCAGAAAGACAATAAAGGCTTATTTGGCTTCTAAGGAGTACTTAAAGCTACAGTGTGTAATAATTACAGGGATATACAGTCAGAAATTTAATATATTATACATAACTATATTATTTATCATCATCTACGAGCTCAGCCTCTTAGCCTTAATATTTGCGTTTCGTTATTTATAATTACATAGGAGTGGGTCTCGCAGCCATGGAGGCAGACATCTTTGCGCTACGGCAGCGCAGAGCCAACAAACTAGCGATTGCGAGATCGCCCATTACGCTCGAAAGTAACTACGGCAAGTTGAGAGAGATGAACTGAGACGGTACTGAACAATAGATACTAAATACGACTATAGATACTAATAAATACTATCTGTAAAATTATCTATGTATACAAACCTCATCACTTGAGAAGGTAGGTGATGCGGACGTCGTGGAAGACATTTTGTCCCGTAACGCTCGCCGTACTGTTGGGGGGGAGAAGCGGTGGGGGGGAGATGTTCATGTTGCTGCGGTCTGCAGTCTGAATGTTAGATGTCGCTGAAAATTACACACTGTAGCTTTAAACGCATGTTTTGGCTCCCAAAGAG